AACAAAAACAAATTTCTGTATAGAAGTAAAGTAAAGATCATACTGCAAGTCACAAGATACATCTGTGCAACACATGAAATCCAGTGTTTCGACTACAGCACTCCATTGCTTTTCCAACCTCAAAAATCTAATAGTGAAAAAGTGATGAAATCACTGTTATTTACGACGAAAAATAGTAAAACCTAGGTTTTGGAGGGGGGGTACCATATATATATATATGTATGTGTGTGTGTGTGTGTTTGCAGGGACGTGTTGCGTGCACTTTGAGCACGTTGTATCCGTGGTAGTGAGAGGCTAGGGCTCGGAATGTGAACAAATGACAATACGAAGTTGAAAACACCTAAGCACATGCGAGGCACTACGACTCCAGGTATTGCAACAACTAACCGGCAGCGAGCACGCAGTGCCTCAAGCATACCTCACATGCACCCGTCGAGGCATGCATGTTTGCAAAAGTTTCCACGTGGAACCTGGATTCCTTGACAATAGAGAGCCTGTGCATTGCCCAGCGCTCCGCAGAGGCTTTTGGATCGGAGTCTGCAGCCTGGTGACATTGTTCACGCCAGGGCCGTTCCTGCGGCTGAGCTCAAGCAGCGCCTCAAAATTGGCTTGAATTTTAAAAGCTTCCTGTGTTAGCCCACTACTTGTACGTAACAGGTTGAGCTTAGGCCGGGCCTAGGTGGGGGCAGGCAGGTCGCCAGCGAAGCTTCGGCGAGAGTGGCTTCTCTTCGGATGCGAGGCTTCTTGTCACTGCTGCAACGGGTCTGAGGTTCTGCGACGGCGCGAGCAGGACCCGCTTGCTCTGAGACCCGAGACCCAGCGCAGCCAGAAAGCTACAAAACGTTGGGCATTCTGCTCTTGAGCGCATCTTCGAAGCTGTCGTTGGCCTGTGGTCCGAAAGGGTCCGGCTTTCTCCGCTCTTCCTGCAGGATGGAGGTTGCGAAGGAGTTCCTGCCCGCGCTGGGTGTCCGCCTGCAGGCCATCCGGTCCAAGCTGCCTTGCATAGATGTTCGTGAGGGTGACTCGGCACAGCCCTGGGGTCGGATGTCCGTTTTTGGATTCCATCTCGAATCCGAGCGGGTTAGACTCGTCATACTGACAGAATGCCTTCTCCAACCTTCGCAGCGCTTTACCTGCCCTCTCTTCACATGCGAGATTCGCGCTGTGCTGTACCCATTGCGGCAATCCGCCATGAAGACGTACTCAGGCCTTTCACAGCCGCAATGCTTTTTTTGCCCGAGGCTCAGAGAGGCCACCAGATGCACCCTGTCTGCCAGTTGTGGGTGAATTGCAAATGCCACTGAAGAAGAGAATGTGAGGAACGGGAACGGTCCATCGGGATTCGTGCTGGCTGGTCGCCGCTGGTGGTCGATGTTGTTAACGAGGCGAGGGGGGCTGAGGCGATGCACGAGCTGAGTGGCAGAAGCGGTTGCTGCAGTGGCAACTTCCAATCTCAGTGCTGCACGCGTTCCGCACGTGGCAGTCTGCAGCGGCATGCTGCAGGCATGAGCAGGATTTGATCATGGCTGGTAGGCTCAGGCTGAGTTCGTCAAAGTCTTGTCGCAGCAGAGCACTCCAGCACGGTTCTGTCTGGTTCCCAGCCGCTCGCGCATTGCGAACTGAAGAGCTGCTGGCATGCACAGCCCAGGGATTGCGGTTGGCGAGGATGTGCCACAGGCGGCCGTGCACCTAGCCTGGGCTCTAACCCACGGGTGTATACTGGCCTCAGCTGCATTGACCCTGTTTCTCAGTTGTCCGTTTTGCCGGTAAGTCTGTCGAACCAGGTCTTGGCCGTCATGGCGATGCTAAACTTTCAGAAGTTTAGCGGCCTTCTACTCCTAAACCTCGCCATGCCCTTAACGATCACCGCGGCACCCGTCGGGCCTCGAGCGATGGTTTCCTCCCCTGAGGTCTTCTGCTGCGTGAAGATCGCGGGCATCTTGGCCATCCGGTGGCTCCTCTTGCTCGGGCTTCAGCTTCCCCTCGTGCTCGAGCGGCCCAGTCCAGCCCTGGAAGCTTGACGAAGGAAGTTCGGTATGCACACACTCGACCCGTCTGCCATCGCGATCATGGCGGCGCCCCTCTCGGCTGCCATCGCCAAACTGCCAAAGCTGCAAACGACCGCAGCCCTGGTCCCGACCGGCAGCCTCAATGCACCGCACTGAGGCTTCACACGGCCTTGAGGTCCGAAGTGGAGAGGGCCAGGGCCGTCTCCTCGGAGGTTTCTTCCGACTGGAAGGCTCGATGCCAGTACCCCCGCATGTCACCCGACCAAGCAGAAGTCCGCAAGCCCATCCGCTCCACTACCTACGTGCGCACTTTTTGGAAAGATCCTACATCGCGAATGCGATCATGTCAAGAATATAAGCCTATTCGGAGTGCACCCGTGCCAGGTACCAGCATGGAGTGTGAATGCAGGTGCTGTGTGCAGCCCCTTTCCAGATCGAGCTAGCAGCGCCGGAAGTCAATGTTGCTGGTGGTTGGTTGGTTTAGGTAGGTTCCCTTGGTCCGCGCCTGCTTTTGCATGGTAGCGGAGCAGCTGCCGGTCCAAGGCAGTTGCTGAGGGAGGTCGCGCTCCGGCGCACCCCCTTCCACGCGCGGAAGCGTTCGTGCTTTTTTGGGGTGGCTGGGTGGTCGCGCTTCGGCGCACCCCTGTTGGTCCCGTCGGCGAGACGGGGAAAGGTCGCCGAGGAGGCGGCAAACGGAATAACCCCAAAGGGCGTGGTGCCAAGGGAAAGAAGAGCCCTGTTGGCAAGCCGAGCCAACAGACAAAGCAAAGCAACAAGGGCAAGAGACGAGGGCTACGTTCTACAGAGGCCTTGGTGAAGAGGAGCAACCTGGGCTTTGAGGACGCGGCTGAAGAGGTTATCCAGAGGACAGCAGCAGCCAAGAAGGCCCCGACCCCCAGCAAGTTTGCAGCTACAGTGAAGGGGATCAGGGTGCCGAAGCTACGCATCGTGCCCGAGATCAAGCAGCTGCGGAAGGACTGGCCTAACCTTTCGTTCCGGGAGCGAGTGGAGCGGAAGGCCTCGCTTCGTGATATCACCTGGTACGGTGGGGCAGTTGCTCCTTCGGGACTTCAACGAGGCTTGCTCGACTTGTGACGAGCGGAACACGAGGAACAGGCCGAGCGTGCTGCAGTTTGCCAGGTTACAGAGGACGAGGCCGACGACGAGGGCCTAGGCCAGGAGGAGACGAGCTCGGAGGATCCGGGCCATTGTGCTTGTGGGCCGGGACCATGGAGGCCTCCTTGATCTAGGAGCTTCGGGCTCAGCTGCAGCAGTCTGCTGAGGCTATGCAGCAGATGCAAGGGACTATGCAGCAACAGCAGCAGCAGATCCAGGTTCTACAAGCAGCCCAGCAAGCCACGCCAGCACAGCAACAACAGCAGCAGCAGCGGCTGGAGGGTCCCAAGGTGGACCTGGTGTGGGGGCCTTTGGGCTTCTGCCTTTGGTGGATACAAGAGGTGTTCCGAGGAGACCCGGCAGCTTACAATGATTGGGTTTTTGTGCTTCGCTCCTACATGGGGGCGATGGACCGGAGGTACCAATCGCTGCTGACGAGGGCAGAAGGCTCAGAGATGCCTTTGTGGAACCGCGGCCTCACCGCGGAGGAGCAAGGGCTGTCTACGCAGCTCTACTACGTGCTGGTTATGCTGTGCAGGGAGAGGGCGCTCGACAAGCTGCATGCACAACAGTGGTGAGAACAAGGGCCTAGAGGCCTACAGGCAGCTCTATGTCGAGTACAATCCGCGGCTCAACTCGCGGTACGTTGGGCTTTTGCTGCAGATACTGCAGTACAGGTTTGAAGGCGACCTGGTGGCTGGGATCGAGGCCTTTGAGCGGACAGTCCGGGAGTACGAGAAGCAGTCGGCAGTCGGGGAAGGACCATCATCGGCGTGGTTATCCTTGGCATTGGCGACCCGACGGTGAAAGAACACTTGGTGCGCCACGCCGGCAGACTGGATTCCTGGATGAAGATGAGGGCCGAGATCCTGGCAATTGCCCGGACCCAGAAGTACCTGCAGAGCGGGCCACAGCCAATGGACATTGGCGCTTTGCTCAAGGGGAAGGGCAGAGGAGACGAGAATAACAAGAACAAGGAGCACAACAAGGGGAAGGACAAAGACAACAAGGGCAAAGGCAAGAAAGGGAAAGAAGGAAAAGGCAGCGGTGGCTCTTCCTCGGCGGCGGCTGCAAAGCAGAAAGGTCCGTGCTTCTACTGCCAGAAGATGGGGCACACCAAGGCCGAGTGTAGGAAGCGGCTAGCAGACCCAGACCTCAAGAAGGCAGAGCAGAAGGCTGGAAAAGGTAGGCCGGCAGCCGCTGCTCCCGAAGAAGAGCCCGAACAAGAGTCGGTAGCAGCCTCTACCTTGTGTGTCGCAGTTCCCGCCTGCAGCCTCCCGACCGAGAGCCCCAAGCACAAGCTTTTGCTAGACACAGGTGCAGGTGGGGGTTTGGCTCCTTGTGGTTTTGACTTCGAGGCTCAGCAATTTCCAGGCCCCAAGGTTAGCATGACCACTTTTACCGGGGAACCGTTGGAGCTAGGTAAGAAGAAGGTTTCCAGCTTGCAACATGAGAAAGTTTCGGTGAGTTTTGCGTACAGGGAGAGCAAGGATGTGAGTTTTCCTGTGATTTCCATGTCCGGGGCCAGCAGCAACGGGACTTGGTTGGTGATAGGCCCCAACACCCAGTGTCTTGTTCCAGGACCAAGGTTGGAGGCTTGAGGAGGCCCTGAGGCAGTCTAAGAAGGTCCCGCTTCTTAAGGAAAAGGGTGTGTACTGGCTAGAGGCTCAGCAAGGAACCCCGAACGCAAACCCCGAAAGCATGATTGCAGCCCCGG